TGCGGAATGCTAGCTCCGCATTCCCATTGGCTGGAAACCTGCTGCTGGCTGCTTCTGGGACATGGCATTGTCTGCGGAGCCAAGAGAGGAAATAAGCCTGCCTTAATATCCCCGGTGCACCACTGGCTAGGAAATGATCAGGGTAAATGGTCTCTGCCTTGATTTCCCTCCCCCACCAAAAGGTGGAGACCCATCTTACATGCGGAATGCTAGCTCCGCATTCCCATTGGCTGGAAACCTGCTGCTGGCTGCTTCTGGGACATGGCATTGTCTGCGGAGCCAAGAGAGGAAATAAGCCTGCCTTAATATCCCCGGTGCACCACTGGCTAGGAAATGATCAGGGTAAATGGTCTCTGCCTTGATTTCCCTCCCCCACCAAAAGGTGGAGACCCATCTTACACCCCAAAGCTCTCATCCTCAATTCCACTCTGGAGCCCACACTCTAGTTAAATTATGTTGGGTCATGGGCATCAACAGTTTTCTTCAACTGGGTCATGAGGAAAAAAGTTGGAAAACCACTGATGTAAAGCACCATATACAAGGTTACATGTTAAAGGGAATTTCTTCATTAACTTCTGTGAAGTGCTTAGGGGTCTTCAGATGGAAGGTATGTATAGATGTTCTAAATGCTTATTTAATACGTTTGAAACTCTTGAATCCAGAAACTTTGGGAAACCAGGTATGCCAGATTAAAGATTTTGCTTGACCAGTCAGGGCACTGCGGAGTCTGGGCAGGAGGGGGTGGGGTGCAGCACATACCTGTCACCCTACTTCTGGGGGCACATGGCACTCTGTGCTCCCTGTTGCTGGAGCAGCAGAGAAAAGCCTGAGGGGAAGTGGCTCTTTGTGCTGCCATTCCCCCAGCAGGGTGGTGAGGGGGAGCAGCAGTGTGCAAAGCCACTTCCTCCTTGTACCAGGGGTGTTCCCAGATAAGACACCCAGAGTGTGCAGGTGTAAGTCAGCATTCCCTCTAAGATTTTCCATCCATGAGCGGAGTGAGTTTTGTCTTGTGCACCAGTATTGCGGTCATGTGCACTTGTGCAGATGTGTGGCACCCAAGTTATAAACCTCTCCCTTTTTCCCCTCTGCTGCCATGTCGTCCCCCCTCCCCTCCCCCCCGGCTTCATCTACTCCCCTGGGGTCTGCTTGCCTGCTGCTCCTCTTCTCCCCCCTCTCCTCCCCAAACACTGTCCTGGCTCCTGCCCTTCTCAGTCCTCCTGGGACTTGTCCCACCTCCCCATCCTCTCTGATCCCTACACCTGCCCTTCTTTCCCTCCGCTCCTACCACTCCTGTACCTCCCCTCCCTAGCCCCTCTCCGAACATCTCCCTCTACCCATCTGCTCTGCCTCTCTCCTCTGCCATCTGGTACCCATTCCTCCCCTCCACTCCTCTCTCCATGTCTGCCCTTCTGCCCCACAATCCCCCTGGCGCCTGCACCTTCCCTTTACCCCTGAACCCTCCTGGTACCTCCCCCTTCCCTCACTGCCTCTGTTATCCTTGCCCTCTTTCTTCCTGGTACTCAGCCCTTCACCACTATCTGCCCTAGTTCTCCTCATGCCTCTCTGCGCCCTCACACGTGATTTGCCTTCCTCGTGCTCACCCCTCCTTTCAACCCCTCTTCTCCTGGCATCCACTCCTCCCCTCTCCTCTTCCTTCCTCTTGCCCCCATTGTCCCTCTCTTCCCTCTCCAAGCATCACCCTGTTCCCTCCCCTCTCCCATCCACACTGTCACCTTCCCATTGTCTCCTCTTGGCCCCCGGCATTTGTCTCTCCTCCAGCCTGCCCCTTGGTGCCTTCCCCTTTCTTCTCCTGTTCTGGCCTCTTCCTCTCCCCTCAACACAAACCCCTTCCTCTCCTCACCCCCACCTTCTCCTTAGTTTTCCCCCGTCCCTTCCCTAACTTTCTGCCATCCCGACACCTTTCAGCTGCCCTGTGTGCTGTGGCTAGAACCGGGGCCATGGTGCTATTTGTAGTACTGCCGCCCCAGCCTAGGAGTAGCTGCTCTTCTCCTGTTCTGGCCTCTTCCTCTCCCCTCAACACAAACCCCTTCCTCTCCTCACCCCCACCTTCTCCTTAGTTTTCCCCCGTCCCTTCCCTAACTTTCTGCCATCCCGACACCTTTCAGCTGCCCTGTGTGCTGTGGCTAGAACCGGGGCCATGGTGCTATTTGTAGTACTGCCGCCCCAGCCTAGGAGTAGCTGCACCGCTCAGCTGCTCCTGGGGTGGGAACAGCTGGGGCTGCAGCTGCCTGGCTCTGTTTAGGGGGTGGGCAGGAATGAAATTCTTGGTGTGCATCCACGCAGGCGCACACTTTACAGGAAACCCTAGTGTAAGTGTATTTTCATTGAATCCTAATTGTTAGAAAGTCTCAGGATTGTGACAGTCACATATTCTGTCTGTCAGTTCTATTACTTTCCTGGTTTACAAGCAAGTTGGTCTGTCTTCTGTGCTCTAGTCATTTTTTAGACGCAGTCAAGATGTAGCTAAGGGTATTTCTAAACATCTTGAGAGAGACTCAAAGAATTGTAGAATACTGTGAGTATTTTTCACTAGATAGGGTCCTGGTTAAATAAGATAAATGAGTTTTTTTTTTTTTTAAATGTTTTGTTTCTTACTGATTCCAGTGGCTCTTTTGTTTTAGCTGTTATGTAAATCTAAAAGAAATATTCATTTTATATTTCTCTTTGCTGTGTGTCAGGGCATACTGAAAGGGTCTGTTTACCAAGAGCTGATGTATAATATTGTTAGCTTACTATTGATTAATTCATTTTCCTGTGTTTATTGGACTTACAAAAATGTAACCTGACAGCATATTGGTACAGTAAGCTTCATAGCCCAGCAAACTGGTCTTAAAGTTGTCCTAAAATTATGGTGAACAGATGCATTTCCGAAGTTTGTTTATCACAGCCTTAATTATTGAGTCATCTTTTTGGTGAACTTACTCAGTTTTTTAAAACAGCATATTTCATTCTTCTCTATCAGTCTGTAATTTGTATAAATGTTATAATGATTGCTGATTTGTCTCTGTAATAATTCATTGGAAAATCTTTATTGATCATCTGTAATTTCAATGTTTAATTTTCATTTTTTTCCCCACAGGAAGTGCCACTTCAGCAGACTGCACAGCCTACGTCAACAATAGTTCGCCCAGCATCATTGCAGGTTCCTAATGTACTGCTAACGAGTTCTGACTCAAGTGTTATTATACAGCAGGCAATACCTTCACCAACTTCTAGCACGGTCATTACCCAGGCTCCATCCTCCAATAGGCCAATAGTGTAAGTAATATGTGATAGAAAAATATTTTGCTGTTACAGATTTCTAAAAAGATTCTTGTTTACAACGTACTTTTGATCACTTTTTCTACAATTTAAGTGTGGCCTCCAGCTCCATAGTCTCCAACAATACAGTGAATATGCATTATAAGTTGACAGAGTTATGTCAAGCAGGATTACTATTAAATGTACAGAATACATTTAAATGTACAGTGGATATTATTGATAACTTTTCAACTGGCAAATAGTTTAAACAGTATTAAGTATGGACAGGGTTAAACCAAATTAATAATTCTTCAAGCTTTGAAATAAGAAAAGTCACTGCCTTTCAAATCTGCTGTCCTTTTAAAATATTTCATCCTCATTTTTCTTAGACCAGTACCGGGTCCTTTTCCTCTGCTGTTACATCTTCCTAATGGACAAACTATGCCTGTTGCCATTCCTGCCTCAATCACAAATTCTAATGTTCATGTCCCTGCTGCAGTTCCAGTAAGTTTACACATGATCTAGTCTACAATCTTAAAAGTCAAAAACTGGATTTAGAAAAAGATTTTCGGACTTGATTTAAAGTGGTGAGAGACATGTTTTTGGTAGGTATTGCAATGCTTTGTGCTCTGAACACTAGTGAGAGTAGTGTATCTATCATATCTAATATTACTTAATATATTTCTCTTCATTTACTACTAGCAGACTTATCCAGCATTGCCCAGGTCCTTCAGGGCAGGGCCCTGTGGATGTGTGTGCAGAGGGGTTTTTTGGGGGGGGGGCAGCTAGGAGTCAGGGGCGTTCTTCCTCCCTCCTTTCCTGTATCTTCCCCCTTCCACCTGGGGCTATTCTCCTGCCAGCCCACTCGGGGCCTGCTCTCTCCCCCCACAGACTCCCCCAGCTGTCAGGGGCCTGTTCTCTCCCTCCTTCCCCTCCTTCTTCCCTGGGAGGGGGGGGGCTGCAAGCAGGGGCTGGGGTGGGGGGAAAGGATTTGAGGCACAAGGGCTACTTATTAGAGTGCTGGCTGGCAAGATAGTGGAGATCCAGCTCTGGTGGCCACTCCCCTAGCGGTACTGCTGCCCCTAGTGGACACTGCATATAGCTCTCCCCTGTGGGCTTGCTGCCCCCAGTGGACCTTCTCGTATCGAGTCCTTCTAAAAGTAGTTCTTTCCTTTGCAAGTTATGGAAAACTGTCCTTTTCCCGGGGATTCTGATTGGTTGGACTCACTGACTGACACTCAGATGCACTCTAAAATATATATATATATATATATATATATTTTAATCTCGAAGGGTTCTAAAGCTACTGATTACCTAGCTTTAGAACTTAGTATTACAGAATTTGGTAACTGTTTTGGTTCTAGTGGAGAGTTCAGTTTTAAAATTTGAATTATGCTGGTTTACTAAGAGGTTGTTTTTCATTTTTATGACTTTCCTGGTCAGCTTGTTAGACCTGTCACCATGGTGCCTAGTATCCCAGGAATCCCAGGGAGGGTTCTAAAGCTACTGATTACCTAGCTTTAGAACTTAGTATTACAGAATTTGGTAACTGTTTTGGTTCTAGTGGAGAGTTCAGTTTTAAAATTTGAATTATGCTGGTTTACTAAGAGGTTGTTTTTCATTTTTATGACTTTCCTGGTCAGCTTGTTAGACCTGTCACCATGGTGCCTAGTATCCCAGGAATCCCAGGGCCCTCCTCCCCACAGCCAGTGCAGTCAGAGGCTAAATTGGTAAGTTAAAATTTCCTTGATCTTCATGAAGGTTAATCTGAAAAAATGTTACATTGTTAACAGTTAAACCTTACTAAATATGTAGTTGTTTGATACAGTAATTGTTATTGTGCCATTTTCTACAGACTTTGATCTTGCAGAAGATAAGCTCTGTGCTGGAATCTCAGTGCTGGAAAATGAGTTATCAATGTGTTTTGGTTTTATAGTAATTTCAATTTTTTTATGATGGCTAGCATCAGGACTAAAACATTTCTGAATTCAGCAGCACTGGTAAAATGTACTCTGCGGAAGACCATTTTTGTAACTCGCGCTTCTCATGATGAAGGCTAAGAATATATGTGGCTTTAGGAGAGGAAGGAGATACAAGCTTAATGTCACTTCAGCAAGTCTTGCTTGGTGATGGAAGCAAAACTAAAGAACTGCATCCTTGTCAGAGTGTGAGGCTTCTTAGTGAAAAAGACTATAGAATAAAAATCAAGCTTTTCATAACAACACATGTCCTATATTCCTAGCTGCTTATGGTCTCCTCTTCCAGTCATGTTACTGAATAGGGTTTAATGATCGATGTCACTAAAGAGACATTGTTATGATGGACATAAATAGTTGATTTGTTAAGATGACCTGGAACCGAAATCAGGTGGAAGATAACAAAAAAGGTAAAGAAAAAATCACTTACATAAATATACATTAACAGTATCATGATATTTATAGTTTAAATTTTAAGTAATTATTTCAAATAAAAATGTGTTTCTTCTCCAATTTACTAGTTACAGTTTACTAGTTACTAGCTTCACTGCTGTTTTTAATTATTCTTTTTCTTCATTTTTGTTTTTATAAAAAGAAATGGGAAATATATGAAAGAAAAATTAAACAAATGACACCTCTGTGTGCATCCATAGATTAGCTCCACAAACTGAATCTGTCTTGTATATTACGTACATTTAACTTAGAGTTGTGTTGTGTTATCCCTGACATTCATTTATTTATATTTAAAAAAATTAAGAGCAGAATCAGGAGAAATAAGTAGGTAAAATACTATTTTTTAAAATGTGAAGAGGTAGGGGGATATATGAGCAATAACACCCTATTAGGATGTTTTCATAGCAGCAGCAGACATCCCAGTTGCTCCAGCTGGAGGAGCATCTTTGAGACTGCATAGACGGAAAGGATGGTGGACTGCATAGAGATGAATCCTTTTAAAATCCTTTATTAATATGGGGAGAAGGCTGGATAGGCCTCAGTCAATGAACAAACATTTGCTTGTCTCAAAGATTAAGCCTTGCATGTCTAAGTGCACATGGACATAACAGTGAAACTGCAAATGGCTCATTAAATCAGTTATGGTTCCTTTGATCACTCCAAGCCTTACTTGGATAACTGTGGTAATTCTAGAGCTAATTCATGCCAACCTACTCTCCTCTGATCAGACCTAAGTTGGAGTATTGTGTCCAGTTCTGGGCATTTCAAGAAAGATTTGGAGAAGGTCCAGAGAAGAACAACAAGAATGATTAAAGGTCTAGAGAACATGACCTATGAAGGAAGACTGAAAGAACTGGGTTTGTTTAGGTTAGAAAAGAGAAGACTGAGGGGGGACATGATAACAGTTTTCAGGTATCTAAAAGGGTGTCATAAGGAAGAGGGAGAAAACTTGTTCATCTTGGCCGCTGAGAATAGGACAAGAAGCAATGGGCTTAAAATGCAGCAAGGGAGGTTTAGGTTGGACATTAGGAAAAACTTCCTAACTCTCAAGGTGGTTAAACACTGGAATAAGTTGCCTAGGGAGGTTGTAGAATCTCCATCTCTGGAGATGTTTAAGAGCAGGTTAGATAGACATCTGTCAGGGATGGTCTAAATGGTACTAGGTCCAACCATGAGATCAGGGGATTGGATTTGATGACCTCTCAAGGTCCCTTTCAGTTCTAGTGTTCTATGATTCTAACTTTTGTTTTGGCCCCCACTCTAAAGCCTGTTATATTCAGTAGTGAAGGTGGCTTCCAGGAATGCATATTTGTTTGTGATATGTGAGGTTGCTAGACATGTAGAATTGTTTTCCCCAAAATGATACTACTCTGAGTGCACTAGCCAGCATTGAATTCTAAGGAGAACCGCTTGTTACAGTCAGAGCTACAGTCTCACCTCTGCGCCCATTAGTGAGTTAGCCTTTGAAGTGCTGCAAGAGAGGGGAGAACAGTTAAGTACTAAATAGGGATGTTAAAATTAGATTAATCAACTAATCGAACAGTCGATTGTAATTCTGCATCAACTATTCAATTAGTTGATAAGGGTGCCTCCACTTTTGAAATGTGGCAAAAGCCATCAGGGCTCTTGCTACATTTCAAAGGCGGAACTGCCGCAGGGAGCAAGGCCAGTGGGGGACTCATGCAGTCCTCCTGCTGGTCCTGCCTTCAAAATATACAAGAGCCCCAGGAGGCTCCCTGCAGCACTTTTGCTTCTTTACTAGAAACACCAAATTCTGACTTTCATATTTTTGCATGCAAGAAATACAGAAACATGAAACTGCTGCAATACATCCTAAGTTCTAAAAATATCAGAGTAATTAAATTTACTTTTATCTTTTGTGGTGATTTTTGTTAAACCGACAGAGGGGCTTAGAATATTTAATTATATTTGTTTAATACTTCCTCAATAAACAAAGTTAACTAAAACTACCTTTTAAAACTACTATGCTACTGTTGTCAATAAAAATTAATAAGCAGGGTTAGCTACATACTATTGTCTGGTAAACCTATTTCTGGGCCGATTACATATTTCTCTTAGTATTTCATCATGGTTACTAGCTAGCAGACAAAGACAAACTTTTAAATTCATTTGGGTCTTTCTTTATTGATATTGTAAGACAGCTTAGTCATGTGTAGACTTTTCATTGCTGTTGATTTTTCTCATACTTGGAGACTGTAACATAAATACATATTTTACGTATTTGCTAAGAGAGTTGGTTGCCTAGTTTAATAAAACAATTGGCTGGTCTTATGTCAAAACTGTGTACTGAATACATGACATTCAATGTGACAGTAAATAGGCTACTGAACTAGGGATGATGTCTTGACAGTTGGCAAGTGACTTGGAAGACTGTTATTTATTGTTTGCCTTTAGTTATAGGTTAAATTTTTCTTCTGTAATGCAAAACGCTGTGATTTCTAATCTATAATATAGTATATTGCATCTTTTACCATATTATATATAAAACAAATATTAAAAGTCATTCTCAGTTGAGACATTTTATCTGTTCCAGAAATTGAGGATGAAGCAATTGATGTGGTGTTTGAAGTCCTAACCTCTTGTTTGACAGAGCACATGACAACTTGTCCAAAATAAAGCAACCATGTTCATATGTTCCTGCAGGGGTAAATTTGATGTTTTACTCCTGGGCAAAACTAGCATTATCATTTCCTCCAAAGAAACATCCTCTTTCAACTTCAGTATTTCAGAGAGCATAATGAACATTGTAACATTTAAGATACGATAGCAAACTGTCCTGATGTGAGGGAAAGATTAGTGAATGGCCAATAAAGCTGAATCAGGAGCTCTTTAGTAACTCGAAAAACTAAAAGGAATCTTACAGAAAGTGGAAACATGGACAGATTGCCTAGGATGAGTACAAAAGAATAGCACAAGCATAAAGAAACAAAATGAGGCAAGGATACAATATAAGTGGCACCTAGCAAGAGACATAAGGCAATAAAAAGAGGTTCTTTAAAGAAATTAAAAGCAAGAGAAAGACAAAGGAAAGTATAAATTCACTATTTAGCGAGACATCAAGAATTTCTGTAATGTTTCATGTCCACTTTGCTTCCGTTTTACCTAAAAAAGTGAATTGTGACCAGATACTCAACACAATATTTACTACAAGTGGGAAGGATCATAAGCCAGAATAGGGAAATAACAAATATTTGGGTAAGCTGAATGTATCCAAGTCTGAAGGGCACAATGAAATTCACCCTTGGGTACTTAAAAAACTAACTGAAGCAATCTCAGAACCATTAACAATGATCTTTGAGGTCTCAGAGGACCAAAAAAGGACAAGCATAGTTAGTACTTATCTTTAAAAAGGAGGAAAAAAAAGCTTTTGGGAAATTGTAGTTAACTAACTCTGGGTAAGCTGAATGTATCCAAGTCTGAAGGGCACAATGAAATTCACCCTTGGGTACTTAAAAAACTAACTGAAGCAATCTCAGAACCATTAACAATGATCTTTGAGGTCTCAGAGGACCAAAAAAGGACAAGCATAGTTAGTACTTATCTTTAAAAAGGAGGAAAAAAAAGCTTTTGGGAAATTGTAGTTAACTAACTCTAATACCTGAAAAAATACTGCAACAAATTATTAATCCATTTATAAAGCCTCTGACGGATAATATGGTGATAAGGAATAGCCAATGTGCATTTGCCAAGAACACATCATCCTAGACCAACATAATTTCCTTCTTTGATGTGGTTATTGGTCTAGTGGGTGGTGAGAAATGGTAAGGATAATATTATTGTGATTTTATTAAGGTATTTGACATAGTCCCGTATTACATTCTCATAAGCAAACTTAGAAAATTTCCCTGGACAAAATTACTATATGATGGGTGCCCAAAAAATTGAAAGACCATACTCAGTGTAATAATCAATGGTTTGCTGTCAAAGTGGGACGATACATCTAGTGGAGTCTTATGTTTAAATTAGATAGAATAAATGGGCCAAAAGAATCAAAGATGTTAACATGACAGTGTCCAGCATTAAAGAGTTTTAATGAAGGGTTAGAGTCTAGTATACAGTGTGTGTGTTGTTGGTTTTTACAAGTTTTGCACTAGTTTGAGACTTTCTCCTTAGACTTCCATATATTTTGAGTTTGAAAGTGCTTTCGAAGTTTAAACATTTATTTTTAACAATATAATTCAAAGCATTTTATGTGCTAAAGTGCTATTTGTGATTTTTAGCTGCTGTAAGAGTACTCCATTACAAGCCCAATATAGTGTGATTATGTAACCCACACACTT